CCCCACAAGGTCCCAGGGGACAAGGTGGTCGCCACTCACTGCAATTTTGTCTCCAACAGGTTGAGCTTCTGCTGGTCGACGTAGCGAGAGAAGAGGGAGCTGAGGTTGGAAGGGGTGGAAAGGGGCTTGGCCAGGGAGGCAGGGGGGATCCGGAGGAATTCCCGGGTGGCCATGAGCATCAGCTCTGTCCTGGGGAGGGAGGGAGAGGAGAAGGGGGTGAGGGGCAGCCGGGAGGGGACACGCACACGCTGCCACCCACCCCCCGCGTGCTGCTCACCACTGGTTGTCCTGCAGGAGCTCCGTGGTGGCCTCCGAGCTCTGCAGCTCCTCCCCGCGGCTCAGGATCAGGTAGAGGAGGGACAGGCCGAACTGGGGAGGGGACAGGGAGGTGACAAGGGGACACAGGGGGTCTCCCTGGGGTTGGCTTGCTTCCCCCCTCCAACCGCCCCCCGCCAGGATATGGGCAGGGTGGGAGGAGGTCTTTCCTCCTGGTGGTGAGTGGAGGGGGAGGAGGTGGAGGTGGGCAGGGAAGAGGTGGAGGAGGAGAAGGAGGACAAGGATGGAGGGGGAAGGAGGGGGACAAGGAGGAGAAGGAGGGGGACAAGGAGGAGAAGGAGGGGGACAAGGAGGAGGAGGGGATGGAGGGAGAAGGAGGATGGAGGGAGAAGGAGGATGGAGGGAGAAGGAGGATGGAGGGAGAAGGAGGATGGAGGGAGAAGGAGGATGGAGGGAGAAGGAGGATGGAGGGAGAAGGAGGATGGAGGGAGAAGGAGGATGGAGGGAGAAGGAGGATGGAGGGAGAAGGAGGATGGAGGGAGAAGGAGGATGGAGGGAGAAGGAGGATGGAGGGAGAAGGAGGATGGAGGGAGAAGGAGGATGGAGGGAGAAGGAGGATGGAGGGAGAAGGAGGATGGAGGGAGAAGGAGGATGGAGGGAGAAGGAGGATGGAGGGAGAAGGAGGATGGAGGGAGAAGGAGGATGGAGGGAGAAGGAGGATGGAGGGAGAAGGAGGATGGAGGGAGAAGGAGGATGGAGGGAGAAGGAGGATGGAGGGAGAAGGAGGATGGAGGGAGAAGGAGGATGGAGGGAGAAGGAGGATGGAGGGAGAAGGAGGATGGAGGGAGAAGGAGGATGGAGGGAGAAGGAGGATGGAGGGAGAAGGAGGATGGAGGGAGAAGGAGGATGGAGGGAGAAGGAGGATGGAGGGAGAAGGAGGATGGAGGGAGAAGGAGGATGGAGGGAGAAGGAGGATGGAGGGAGAAGGAGGATGGAGGGAGAAGGAGGATGGAGGGAGAAGGAGGATGGAGGGAGAAGGAGGATGGAGGGAGAAGGAGGATGGAGGGGGAAGGAGGATGGAGGGAGAAGGAGGATGGAGGGAGAAGGAGGATGGAGGGAGAAGGAGGATGGAGGGAGAAGGAGGATGGAGGGAGAAGGAGGATGGAGGGAGAAGGAGGATGGAGGGAGAAGGAGGAGGTCGAGGAAAGGGAGGATGAGGTGGACAACGACAAGGAGGACAAGGTTGATGACAAGCAGCAGGACAAAGTTGACAACAAGGAGGAGGAGGACAAGGTGGACAACAAAGAGCAGAAGGATGAGAAGGAGGACCAAGTTGGCAACAAGGAGGGGGAGGAAAGGAAGACGAGGCCGATAAGGAGGTGGATGGGGAGGACAACGATGAGGACAAAGCTGACAAGGTGGATGATGAAGAGGAGGAGGATGTTTCACAGCCCCGGGGCCCCTCGTGGAGAGGGCAGCACCTTGTTCTGGAGCACAGCACTGAGGTGGAGGTTGGTGGGCGCCGCGGTGGCCGCGCTCTGAGGTAGGTTGGTCAACTGCTGCACCAGGCTGGTCACTGTGCCCAGGGGCAGGTGGTAGAGGACGTGGGAGAAGGGCCTGAGCAGGCAGGGCAGCACCTACAGGCAGAGGAGCAGCATCAGGAGCTTCCCGGGGACTTCCAGGAGGAGGGAAGTTGGGATGTGGCTTAAGGAGGAAGAAGGAAGCCTTCCCAGCTGCTGGGGTCTCACCTCATCCTGAGCATCCTTCTTGATGAGGAAGGGCAGGTTCCTGGCCGTGGCCATCAGGACATCAGCTGCCTGCTCTGGTGACAGGAAGGGCAGGATTCGGGCCACCAGGCGCTTCCCCTTCCGGATGCACATGATCTGCATCAAGTGGTCATCACTAGGCCTGGGGAGGAGAGGACAGAGATACCAACCCCACCTCAGATCCCAAGACATCCCTGGAAGGATCAGCTGGACTCCTCTTTTTTGGGGGTAAAACAGGTACCCCTGGTGAAGTGCCTATGGATTCTCTGAGGTCCCAGGAGTGATCAAGTCCCTCACCTGTCCTGCCCGGGCACGTTCCCCCTCAGATTGTCATACATCTCACAGATCTTCTGCTTCCTCTCACTCATCAGGGCTGGCCTCTCACCTTCCAGGCTCAGGAGGTAGCGTCTCTCATAGTCCTCCACATCCAGGAGGAGACTGTACGTCTGTGGGAGACAGGGATCTGGGATGGGATCCCCTAGTCTGGCTCCACAGGGATCCAGAAGGAGCCTGGTCCCAGTCAGGACTTTGCCATCTCCTCTGCTGCCACGGGAGCCACATCTCCTGGCCCAGCCCATGGTGGAACCTTCACTCCAACCCACCTGGATCTCCTGAGGGTCTTGGTGGTCCCCCTAGGAACTCACCTTCTCGATCGTGACAAGGGTTTGGCGCCTCTTGTCCCGCACCTGCTTCTCCTTCGTCTCCTGCCAGGGAAGGGGACAACAAATCAGGACAGGTGGGGACAAGGAGGGCCCTCCCCCCCCAGCTGGGAGGGGACAGGACCACAACTCACATCATCCTCACTACGGGATGTCACCACTGCATCAATCATCTTCCGGGGGTTGTTGACGCTGGAGACCGTCAGCTTCCCGAGGGAGCCCTCAAACTGCACTGCAGGAATTTGGGGAGGGGGGGGGAAGGGCAGGGGGTGGAATAGGGGAAGCAAGGGGGAGGGGTCAAGTCCAGGCCCACCTCACCCTGGCTCTCCATGAGAGCCTCCAAGCTCTGGGCCTACCTGGCTTGTAGGTGTGCTCCAGCTTGGCCACCTGAGGCGTGATGAGTTTCGTGCGTTCCTTCTTGGGACCATCTCCCTGCACTTCCTCTGCTGCCGACAGCTTCTCCAGCTTCTGGAAGGAATTCTGAAGGGGGGAGAGGAGAAGTTAAAGACCCTCCCCCCTTCCCAAAAAAACTCCACCCAGCAGGGACTGAGGCAAGACATCCCACTTTCCCTGCTCTTCCCGGGATTTCCTCCCTGGGGATGTGCAGACTCTGTCCCTCCTTTTCGTCCCTGCCACCCCCAGGTTCCTCCTCAGCCCTTTCTCAATCCAACCAGGAAACCACTCTTCCCTCCCAGCCCCAGCTCTTCCACTCCCCCAGCCAACGTCCTCTGCAAGGGCAGTTTGCTGACTCACCAGTTCCTCTTCCCTGCTGGGGGAGCAGCTCCCCTAGCAGCTCCCAGATTTTCCAGGCCCTCCCCCCAGCCCTGGAGCAGTTGGATCCACCAAAGCAGCAGCAGATCCTCCCATTCACCTTTTCCCCCCTTACTCCTGGGACCCTGGGGTCTTCCCCACCTCACCCTGCCAGACTCAGCCTCCTCCCACAGCCATTCCCTGCCCAGGGCTTTCTCCTGCTTTTTCCATTCTCCCTGCCTCCCATTCCAGGTGGTTTCTTCCACTGTTATCACACATGGCATCGTTCTCCTCTGGGACCTTCCAAATCCATCCTGCCAGCATCCCCCAGCATCTCCTCACCCAGGAGTTCTCACCCAAGAATGGGATGGCAGTTCCTTTCCTTCCCTTCTTCTCCTTCCCTTTCCCTTCCCTTTCTCTCTTTCCC